AATGCAGTGAAGAGGACTGCACAAAAGACCCTGGGTCATTTTGTGCTGGCAATTTATTGTGTACACACTGAACCTGTGCATGTTTGATTTCCATATAGAAACTACATGCTCACCAGTGACTGTGGGCATTTGTGCACATTTGTGCTGTAAAACCAAAGGAGGGTTAATGCACACTGACACATTCCACTAAGCCAATCCTCACTGCCTAAACTAAACAGGAAAAAGAATCTCTAGACAAGAAAAAGAATCAGTTACGAGTTGAGGATGGGCTTATGTTACAGCACAAAAAAAATGCCTTTCCATTAAAAGAGTGGAACTGCGAAGCATAAAAAAAGTCACATCTTTCGATCCTTGCTGAAATAAAGCTACGACCAGATAAAAACAGTCCATTACATTTTCCACCATCTTGTAAATGTGTAGAAACCTCCAGTAGAAGTAGCCCAAAACAATAAAAATGGAAGAGTTTTTTACCTGGTCCCCCGGCTCATTAATCTCAAATGCCTTCAGCAGGCTGGACACCATCCCCGTCTTGGAGGAGCTGGAGGCATCCTTCTTCAGGTCAGGCACCATTTCTTCGTGAAGCTTCTTGAGGAGAGGCCCCAAGTCCATGATGTTGAGAGTCTATGAGGCAAGATATTAAAGAGAAAGTGTCAGGGACCATGCCAAGGACAGGGACGATGTTAAGGACCATGGACAATGTCGAGGACAGGGCTCGAGAGACAATGCTTTTCTCTACAACAGAAATATTTTGTCTTTCATATTGCAAGTAAAATAAAATTTGGCAGTGTTGCAATTCTGTTTAAAACCACCACAACATGTTTCATAAAGGGATGAAATAAAGTGTGTGGCTTAACCACTTGCTGACAGGGGACCTGGTTTTGGGTTTGTTTTCTTTATACCTAATGCCGGGCTGCCCAAAACCGGACAAAAGAGCTAGGCCTCACTAATAAAAGACTGTACTTGGAACAAAAGACCAAGTTGCTGAGAATTTCCAACATTTTTTCAGTAGTCAATTTCGGGTACAGGTAGAGACTCACTTCTCCAAACTGGACACCAATTGGACATTAGGGTGCCAAGATTGGCTTCAGCAAATAGGAAGGTTTCTGGTAAGAGTGTCTACGAAGTTGGACCCACCTCTATGTGAATTAGAGTCTCACTGCCACGAACGATTCTCATGGCAGCTTTCCCTTTGGCAGCCTTGGAGTCCGGTTCTGCCATATCTGTCCCACTCAGGAGAAAATGAAAGTCCAACCTTTCCCCGTCCTCCGAATAGCACTCCAACTCGCCTTTCTGGATTACCAGATACTTTTTGCGCCACTTGGGTTCACCGTAATTGGCACTCCCCATGATGTTAATGTAGCCTGTGAGGAAAAGAACTAAACCTTTACCCAACGTCTGCGAAGATAAAATGCCAAGGACGTTGCAAGCCAGTGGCACGCTGCTGCTTATGTTTATTTCCACGCTCTTGGTTTAAAACTGACATTTTCACAACAGCGACATACTGACCTTTGAAAAGCCCCCTTTTAATATAAAAATGATCCCTCCCTCTTCTCAGAACAATTGCAACCAACAAGCCGAGCTCATTCAGTACAGCATCAGAAGACCTTTGGAGGTCTTATTTAGGTTGACGTCTTTGGCCTCCCCATCAGTTCTTTCAATCTCTCACCTGACAGAACTCCTTTCTTGTCGACGGCAAGCTGCGGGCTGTTATCCTTGGACTTCTTGTCCCGCTTGGTGAACAAGCCCAAGACTGAGGATGGAAGACAAAAAGAGGAAAGTCAAAGTCATCCCGAGACATCTTGATACTCCTGGGCTGAAGTTGCCCAAATCATAAGCCAGTACTGCGGTGGTGCAATGCTCAAAAGCCGGTCTTTGCCGCTTGCCAAAATGCAGGTACAGCTTAAGTTTAAGAAATGCGCATGAGCGAGGCGGCACTACGGTAATGGTGTCTCATCCGTTTAGTCTAAATATGTACATTTCTTGGTGATATCCTCCGTGTGAGAAGTCTGCCCTTGGCCCTCTTTCTCCACAAAGCCGGACGATGGGGTGAGTTCATTCTTCATAGTTGCATAGCCTTGCAGCACCTGAAAACACAGTAATACACCTGTCTGGTTAGTTACCTGGTTCTTCCCCTCACGGCTCTTGCCGCACAAGAAAGTCCAAGGGCTTGCTAGAAAATAACACGGGAGGGATTCAAACCCATGACCTACTACCTACTAGTGCAGTCATTCAACTCAAATGGGTTACCTATGTGGCACTTATTTGCGCATCTTTGAACCATGTGCGACATCCAATGCAAAATGAGTTAGAATTTAACTTATCATCATAAGCATGCATACTAGAATGCCTGCTTGAATACGACAGCAATCTTAGAATTTAATCCAATCATATGTCACTTTGAAAACCTATAACCTGCTTTCCTATCGACTACAATCTCTCATGATTCAAGCAAAATCTTCTATTGTGATTTCTGTATTTCTTAGTGTTTGTATGCTGAACTTTGTGTGGTCCTTTAGCCTTGTGCTTAAAAAGAGGAACAAATTTGCACTGAACCTCAATCCACTTGTCAGCGTCCTCTTTAGTCTCGGCGCCTAAGTACTCTGTACCACGGCTGGGATGGCTGACAGTGAACACGTTCTGCTGTTTGCCTTCTTGCCCAACGAAGGTAACAGTGTAGCCGAAGAGCACAAAGTCTTGTGCCGGCTTCTTGGAGCCATAGTTCTTGTAGCAGAGTAGGTGTAGGTCCTTGGCCAGGCAGTATCGCTTGTCCCACTTAGTGATGGATTTCTTGGAGACTGTCACCACCTTGTTGGAGATGTATAGGAGTCCTAGGTGGTCCACCTTCGGATCGCCCTCGTGCTGGCCCTTGAACAAGGCCAGTTTGTCCTCCTTCGCCATCTTGGACTTGTCACTGGACTTCTTAGCCTTGTTGGCATTGGAATCCACCCTGTTGGAGCAAAATATGGCGAGAAATTAACCAACGCAAATAACTCTTTACAAAAATTCGGGCGTACCACTCTTGTCCACACGGTCTATGCCAATCTCAACAGAATTCTTCACAATTCAAACAATTATCCAAACCCCCTAAAAAGTTCAACAAGCAATGAATGAAAATGTCCAGACAAGCATATTTATTCAATAACCAACAATGTATAGAAATCCATCAAGACAGGTGAAAATGGAAAATCACACTCAATGCCCCAAAAGGGGGCGGAGCTTATTGCACCATGTTACTATTAGCTTAATCATTACTAGACAGTTTCAAAAGATGAAAAAAGACATCAGTAATTTAAACCAAATATCTTGAAACAGACATTTCAGTGTCTTCTTAAATTGCAAGTCTTGAAAAAAAAAGAACTGAATGGAAAAAACACTTACTTCTGGTTCTTTTCTAGTTCATCTTCATCGTAATCCTCATAATCGGTTCCACTGAAAAAGGTGTCGTCAAACTCATCTGGAGAAAAGAAAAAAAAAAAAACCAATGTACTGGACTGCTGCCAAGAAAGGTCTTCAACCCAGGAAATTACATTTTTGTATCAAGAGGCAACACCTCCTTTTACTGTATTTTGAGAAATTCCAAGTATCATGCCATCTTTCTGAAAGCTGAGCCGTCCAAAGTCAAGAAAACTTCAAAGTACTGGAAAAATAAGACTGTCTAACATGGGGGAACAAAACAAGTACTGGGTCTACCGTTTCACCGAATTCAAAGAAAACAAAGGATTTAGGATCTCTCGGTCTTTTTTACCAATGGCATCCGGTACATCTTCATAGACCTCTCCTTCATCATATTGCTGCGATGAGGAACTAGAGTTGAAAGATACGGTGGTTCCTCCACTGTCTAAGGCCTCGGTGAAGGCCTGCCTAGAAGGCAGTGGCAAGGTAGCTGACTTTCCCGTTGGCTTTATGGTGGGAGCATCCTTGGTGGTGAAGAAAATGGGAGGAACAATGTAGACGTGAACAGAGAGAAACCGGGCTATGCAGGATTGGAACATGAGACCGCTGGATAGCTGCTCCAGTGCTCCAGAGACTGGTCTTCCAAGAATAGGGACAGACATTTCTCAGAGAAGGAAAGGAAGGACAACCTTTTCACACTTGGGTCAGAGGATGGTTGTCCTGGTAAGTTCCTTTTTGTCTGCTTTGTGCCTACGTAAGTAAGCCTTCACCATAAAGCAGCATTGTAGTCCAAACCTCTTTGTGGAAAAATTTGTGAAACTGCTATCTCTCAGTGCTATCTGAGCCCATACAGTAATTCCATTATGTCCAGTGTTCTGGATTGAAATATAAAGATTTTTATAATAAATTGGGGATTGTAAATTTTGTAGGAGAAAAAAAATCTGTCTTCTGTAATTTTTGTCTGTCTGCAGAACAGGTAGACAGTGTAGCTGGATGAGATATTACTTACATCTGGTTCTTCATACACTTCCAGGTCATCTTGGATCTGTCTCTGTGGTGGTCGTTTAGATGTCGGTACAGCAGGTGATCGTGTAGGCTCCTCATAAGTTTCCATTCTAAAATTTAGGAAAATTGGAAGGGATTTTAAAGAGGAGAAATCTAAACCTAAGCCTCCAACAAACAAACAAGTATACTGTACAAAGCAAAATATTTACTGAACATTCTGTAAAACTAACTATCGACAGAAAGGTTTGAAACAGGGAGAAAGCAACAGGAAATGGGCACCGGGCAAATGGCCCTGCGGTAATAAAACTAGTTGGTAAGCTACACGTACATGCAACCTCTAAATCGGTCACCAGTGATGAGGGACAATCATGCACAAATTGGATAAACGAAGCTGGTGTTTTCTTGCATGTGCAAAATAAATGTGTACATAACTGACAAAGACGACAAGTCCACACAACTAATCCTACAAAAGGATAAAAGTCAATTTCAATTTCTTCGGCTAAGATTCGGCAGAAGTCACTTTCAGACAAACTGTTCGCCCGGAGCATTTCTGAAAACCTGTGTTAGTCTACGATTCGGCACTTGGCTTTGACAACATGTTCATGTGCACTGGCAATCAATTTGATCTTTGAAAACAACATGAACTCCTGAACTTGCAGGGTTTAGTGATTTGCTTTCCTGACTGATGCTCAGGGGCAGATGTGAATTTAAACTGACCCATCAATCTGAGCCTGATGTAACATCCTGACCAATCAAAACTGTGATTTCGGACTGACATTTCTGTCCATTTAATGGACTGATTTCCGCTGAAAAGGGACAAGATTACTTTTCTGAAATATTGAGTTGAGATTATGTGAGGATTGAGGAAATCACAATCTACTCCAACACACAAACATGCAGGAAAACATGAGCAAAACTTCACTGGAGAGAGGATCTCTGAAATCGGAAGCTGTGTGACCAGCGCTGCCTCATTCCAATGCTGATGAGTGATTGATAGAGATGGAGAAATGAAAAAGTATATGTACATCAGTCACGAGTGAACTCTGATCTTTGGTGCAATACCTTGGAGATAATCAGTGGATTGAAATTCGATCCAAACACTTGTTCTGAATTCTTTCCTACATACATGGAGCATTTGGAACCCCAACTGTAAACTTGTGAATATTTTTATCTTTTTCTATAGTTTTCCAGTTCAGGAGACAAGAATAAATTTAGCCATTAATCAAAAACTGGTCCTGCTCTGCACCACACCAGGACTTGGACAGCTTTAACACTGGTGGCTAAAGACAATCTGAATTTTCAGACTGAAGGTCACTGATGATGGTGACTTTTCTCTGCAAAATGTTGATTTTTTTTCTTTCCGTTAATTCTGCATACTTCTTACTTTATTCACTGCCGTCACGAGAAACCAATCTTGAAACCAAAACTCTCACAAACACAGTGAACGTCCCGACAGAACAGAAGTCAAGAAATGGCCCATCTGTTCTTTTAAGCTTTCGGCCCCATTATCATCATCTTGGGCCTGTGTATCCCATCTTAATGCCAATGGAAATGTCAGCGGTGTTTATTCCTCTATGGACGGATGCTTTGAAAGAATCAATTACGCTCCTCACCCGTTGTTCGCATTGACGGTATCTGTACTGATGGTCTCATTGTAATAAATACCACCCTGCAGAAAAGAAAACAAATTATCGCTAGAATGTCAGCTAATTAGATTTCTCAGTTCCTTTTGCCCCTGTTCATACATATGTCGGCATAGGACTGTAAAAATGTGACATCTGTTGTTGCTGTGAAGTTAACTGTGACAAATTATCCTCATCAAGGAACCATCTTCACTTCAAGTACATTCCAACATGGTCCACTTGAGTTGGATAACGTTCTACATAAATTCTCCATTTCTGCCATTGTTGGGTGGTACATCGAGACCTGTTCTTACAGCCAACCACATTAGTAATTTTTGAAGAGGCACTTTTACGTGCCTTGACTGTGACTGACTGAACATTTTACCTCAAAATCTTCTTAAATATTCCCAAATCCACTGCTGTTAGGGAGCCTAAGAGTAAATGATTTACCATCTGGTCAGTTTTGATGGTGATTGGGTAATAATGCTTTCAATGTTTATAATGTCTGGGGCATTTGACCTAATGGTTTGGGTTTGTACATGTAGCTTCCGATCATAGGTTTGGGGGTTCGAATCCAGTTGGTGGAAGCATGTTTTGATTTGGCCTGGTCACTTTACCCCTATGTGCCTCTCTCCATCTAGGAGTGCATGGGCACCTGTGAGGGCAGACGTGGTTCCTATATTTTAACAGGCATTTTTTTCCCAATCGGTCGAAAAGCAGCAGGGTTAACAAGCAGGGATGTCATGCATGATTAACTCTGCATAAGTTGCTGTGTGAACAGCTATTCTGAAGGCTGCAATGCGGGGGTGGGGGGGGGGCAGAGAAGGGTGCTGAGAATGAATGAGGCCATGTGCCAGTTCCCCTCCCTCCTCGGGTTACTCTTACCTGTTGTTGTTCTGGTACATGATGGGCCTTCCTTGCCAGTTCCCGCTGTTCGGCGGCAAAATCAGTCAGACTTCCATTTAAAAGTTGAGCTGGGGAGAGGGAGAAAATGAGAAAGCAACATCCACTGCGCATCAATAGGGGCGTTTCACAATAGTGCGCCTCCAAGAGTTTCAACATACACTGCGCATCAATAGGGGCGTTTCACAATAGTGCGCCTCCAAGAGTTTGCAATGCGTTGACCAATCACAATGTGTGAAATTTGTCGACCCAATGCGCATTTGGAAAGGGTCAACAGATTTCGCACATTGTGATTGGCTAACGCGTTACAAACTCTTGGAGGCGCTCTATTGTGAATCGCCCGTATTGATGTAAAGGTTTGAATGGTACACTTCAGTTTCCCTGCTCTTCTTCTCAGTATCTAACATTTGAAACCATGGCAACTGAATCCGAGGCCATTTTCAAAGTCTCGGAAACACCTGTTGGAACAACAACAGAAAATGCACCAATCTTTGGCCTTAACTTACACAAAGATAATGTAATGCAGCTGTACATGATATAGACAACGGAGCTGGATAATCCCAGACTTAATACAGGAAACTGAATCCCAATGTTTCAAAATTCCCTTCAAAATTCTCTGCTGTTCTTTACCCAAATCTTGAGCCTCTTCCTTTTTGAGGATGGGGAGAGGGGGCCAGTGGGAAGAACTTGAACTCACCTTTAGGAGGATCCGGTGGGCTAGACTTTGGAATGGTGCAATGTTGCTCAATGTAGTCTTGAATATTCTGGTTGTACTTGTCCACCTGAGCCTCCAAGGCACTGGTCAGCTTGCAAGTGGTCAGATCACTCAAGAACTGCTGGAAGCCAGGCAACAGCTGCTCCAAAGCTGCAAAACAAAGAAAAATTGAACAAAATATGCGGATATACAACGTACATGTATACTGGTGGGTAATTCAAGGGGCCAATTTCATAGAGCTGCTTAAGCACAAAATTTGCTTAAGCATGAAAAAACCTTGCTTGACAAATCATGTTACCAGCCAAAACCCCAGGTGATGTACTGGTATATTGTTTTGGAACGGTATTCACCTGTCGTTTGGTTAGCATGACAATAACGCAGCTTTTGAGCTGGTAACCTTTGTGTTTTAAGCAAGGTTTTTTGCGCTTAAGCAAATTTTGCACTTAAGCAGCTCTATATTAGGCGTCCAAAAGTGTGACATTTTCGTGTCCCTGTTACATCTGACCTTTGCTATTTGACATGAAAATATCACCGGAATTGATTTCAAACTATTACTATTTGTTTGACAGGTAATTTGCATAAATTCATCACTCTTGGAAATTAGAAGATGTGTTCTGAACTTACAAAATTATACGTCAGATTTGACAGGGGCACGAAAAAAAATGGACCCCTGATTTCTGGAATTACCCTGGTAAGAACCAAAAGAATTATAGGCATGAAAAGGCACAAATTTAATCTCCAAGCAAGAGTGACCTGTAATAAATTGTTTCTAAAGTGGAAATGCCTGACACATTGATCTTATAAGCAGAATCTTCTGAAGACAAAGATCACCAAATCTTTCTTAATTAATGGCAAAGAATTTATGAGTTCTTCACCTGCACGTACAAGTAAGGCTGGACCAGCAGCCGCTTCCATCTTTTCCAAAATATGAAGCAACAAAAGACTGGCATTAATTGAGGCTTTCGAAATAGACAGCACACATTCAATGTTAACAAACCCTCTAAATCTTTCACTCATCAAAACGCTTCACTTTTTCACCCTTTATACAGATTTTAAACGCCCATATGAAAAATCCAGTAACATACAACATGTACATGCACACTTCGCACAGCTCTTTTGGGGAAATTCCAGGTGAAAGTAACCATTCATAGCCACTCTCGATACAAGTTTTTTTTTTGTTGTGCTGCACAAACAAACTTGAACTTTTTCATATCCTGGATTTGGCATTGTTCCTGTGGTATACATTTCACATGTGTACTAAATCTTACCCAGATGGCTTTCAAATGCCAAAAGGCTTTGAATTCATGTGACACTTTTGTTGGGAAGAAGGAAGTGGCCCCCCAAAAAATTGTGGATTTCAACCTGAAAGTACTCCCACTACATGTATAGATGTTGACATCAGTAGGTAGAAGGAGAAAAGATGACCTCAGAAAACTATCAAAAAGTTTTTCCAGTCCAGGACAAAGTTTTGAGCAGATGCTAAGCTAATATTGCTGAAAAAAAAAAGACTTGCAATCAAGTCTTCAGGTAGTCATGCTTGTCCTCCCCGGCTCTAGCAATATCAACAAACACTGTGCCCTCCTATGCTGAAGTCACTCTTTGGGTCACTTGGTAAACACCTCAAAGAAGCACAGCTGTATTGTGTTGTGCACTGCACCAACATGCAAGAGAGTGACCTTGGGCACTTGTGCATATTTGTGCTGTAAAACCAATGGAGGGTTTTAATTAACTTGTGGTGCAAAGGAAACAGTTTATTTGCCTTTATACTTGTAGCCCATATTCAAGTGTCAAACAAATTAAAGACACTTTGTCTTAGGCTTCACTGATTAATTTAGCCAAGAGCATGAGAAATGAATGTTATGGACATTACGTGATATAGCATGGCTTTGACCTTTGGTACATTTATGCAAGAACTCTTTGAAGTTACTTCCTTTAGCTTTTTATACAAACAATGTTGCACTAGGTCTGAGTACATTCTTTCCGGGCATGAATTGAAAGTTAGAAAAAAGTACCCCTGTATTGTCCAATTTTGTTAATTAACCCTCCTTTGGTTTTACAGCACAAATGTGTACAAGTGCCCAAGGTCACTCTCTTGCATGTTGGTGCAATGCACAACACGACACAGCTGTGCTTCTTTGAGGTGTTTACCAAGTGACCCAAAGAGTGACTTCTGCATAGGAGGGTTAAAGCTGTTACGGACATTACATTTTATGTTGCAGACATTACATATATAGAAATATGTCACAGTTGGTGTGGAATTGTCCTCTTAATGTATGCCTGTGGTTCAACGTTCTGACATGACTGGTAGATGACGCACATTCACACTGACGACAAGGTTGCACTGTTTATTATAAATAAACTTGGCGGTGCAGGCAGACTAAACCTGCCCATTTCCGACTTAACTGAAATCTAAGCAAAAGCAGCTGGGAACCAGTCACTGGCAGTGTATGTACATGTACACCAGATGGCATTTGGCTGGTTACCTGTGTTGGCTGTATCTTTAGTGCTTAGCAGATTACCGTGCTATTAGCAGCTGCACATGTACACTGTATATATGGGGAAATTGGACCAAGGTTTTAGCTGATGTCCAAAAATAGTCACAATGTCCTAATCACGTGATTGGAAACAGATCACGTACATGTACATGTAATGTGCTGGTGTTTAAACTTTTGCTCTGCCGATATCAGTACTCACAATCCATCAGAGATACACCTTTGTAAATGTACATGTATCACTAACAAAGGGGATTTATAGAGGCAATAATATGAAGGAAGGTTTAAAAATGAACCTCAATCCAACTCAATGCTCTAGACATCTCCAGGCAAAGTCTTACAGACAAGTGCAGTCTCCTGAAGACTTGTTGGGAGGCACCTGGCAAAATCTTACAGACAAGTACAGTCTGCTGAAGACTTGTTGGAAGGCACCAAGCAAAGTCTTACAGACAAGTGCTGTCTGAAGAAGACTTGTTGGAAGGCACCTGACAAAGTCTTACAGACAAGTGCAGTCTCCTGAAGACTTGTTGGAAGGCACCAGGCAAAGTCTTACAGACAAGTGCTGTCTGAAGAAGACTTGTTGGAAGGCACCAGGCAAAGCCTTACAGACAAGTGCAGTCTCCTGAAGACTTGTTGGAAGGCACAATTAAAATGAAACTTTGAGAAGATGGCTTGTGGGAATTCCAGCTTTCTTATACATGTACACATGTGAAGAATCTTGGTTTTATAATAAAATGTACATGAACATGTGGGTACTAAGGAGTTTAAACAACCAATACTGAAACCAGTTCCTAACCATACGAAACTGCTATAGTATACCAATGACTGTAAACAAACAATATATCACATGCATCAACCACCTGATAATACATGCGTACATGTGCATACATACAGTACTGGGTACAGAGAGAAAAACTGTGCACTTTGACAAGGTACAAAAGCTGTTGAAGGTACATGTACAATGCACCTTGTAATTAATTGGTCCCTGGTTTCTGACAAACTGCTAGGGAGCTTTGTAGAACTGGTCCCCGCTGGATAAAACTACCAGTATCAAGAATTGTATGGAAAACAGCCAAAGGCAGTAGGCACTCACCGGCAGGCTATCTGCCGGAAGTTTAAAAAAAAAAAAAAGTCACTACTGTCGCTGAACAAGCTTTCAATTGGAAAAATACTTGGAAAAGTACTTCCTGCAAAAATTGTCCACTTTTTTTTCAATTTATTTCAATACGATAAGGTGCTTTTTTGTAACCAACAATTTGCATTATTTTGTTTCTTTTTAGATCTTAAATTTCAGGTACATGTATGTGCACTCTGCCGGAAGTTAAAAACTGAAAAATATCCATACTATGTGTACTACTATACAAGTTTTCAATTAGAACGTACATGGAAAAGTACTTTCTGCAAGGATTGTTCATATTTTGTTCACTTTACTTTAACACATGTACATCAGATAAAAGTGCATTTTTTGAGCCAGCACTTGGCACTGTTGAAATTTCAGTTCTGTTCTTTTTGATATCTAAATTTCGGGTACATGTACGGTACCTATTGCCTACTAGTACACTTAAGCATCTTTGCTACGAAGGAAGTTCGGGCATTTTTCTTGCATGAAAAGAACTGAAGAATCAGCAAAGTGTACACAGATCTATGCACATGAGACCAGTTTGAAGTGCTTGTACATGTGCCAATATACATGTATTTGCTTTCTTGATGTTGTACATCGTGTATGCACACAACCGTACTCACACCAAATTGATGGCATGGGGCCATTTTATATACCGGGGTACAGGTACATCTACATGTAGGCCTACGAATACCAATATTCTAGCAATTACACACATACAGTGTTTATCAGTTTTATTTAAGTACATGCACAGTGTATTGAAGAGAACATTAAAATGACACTGACAAAGGCACGTCTTGTAATAACATCTTCATCCCATTTACAATATTTTTGAAGCACAAATCGTGTATTGAAGAGATTTTTAAAAATTGTACAGAAGTGAAAAAGGAACATCCTATAGCATCGTCATTGTTCATCCAAAATGAAAAGAAGGTGTCCCATCATTCTTTGAGGATACATGCATATGTGTTTGTACATTCGGGCTGATCACAATGTGCACTTGCTACGGTAGCATGCGTCACACGTGGAACACGTTTTTGTAACGAGGTCACCCAACGCCAATAGACCTGAAACAGAAGACCACATATTGACCGGTGCGCCAGCATACATACAACCACAATCTAAATAATTCAGTGTTTGGAATACCGGTGTGGTTAAGCTGCAATTAGACCTAAACAAGAAAAACATGGGCATGACGAAGATAATGAAAACTTGATGGATTGGAATGGTTAGAATGCATGCAATAATGCCAAACAAAATGAGAGATAAACATGGAGATCTTTTAAGTTACAAAATGAATACATGCAGCCTATGTATTACTTTTAGGAAACAATAATACAGTAAATTAACATTCATTCTTGATTAATTACACAAAAATAGAATAATGTTGTACCCTCTAAATTACAAATTTTATAGAATTGCTAAAATTTGGCATATGAATACATGTACATCATGTACAACTAAATCTACCCGGTATGTACATGTATTTGTTTGTTTTCTGTGCTGAATGCTCCCTTCTTTTCTCACAGCAAAAAAAA